GTGCGAGGCTGCTAGCGAGCTATATCCACCCTGAAGGTTAATCTTGGACAATATCTGATGCTCGACTCTTTTAAATGAAACCAGAGAGCGTTGACAGAGAGGAGAAGGTAGAAATGGAAGAAGAACCTCAGCTTAGCCTGTTAGCCTTTGCACTAGCACTGACGCTATATTGCCTTAAATGTATTAGCTTGATGCTAATGCGACAAACGAGAACTGTTGTCCTCCATCTATATTTTCAGTTCCAGGCTGAGTCATTTCTACCTTCTCCTCTCTGTCAACGCTCTCTGGTTTCATTTAAAAGAGTCGAGCATCAGATATTGTCCAAGATTAACCTTCAGGGTGGATATAGCTCGCTAGCAGCCTCGCACCGAGGACCTACCCACGTCATCATTTACCCAGAATGCTTTGCATGTAAATAAAATGGCTCCGTCCGTGTTAAAATATACTTTTAAAAATGTACAAAACTAAACATCCTACAGTATTTTTACAGTCTTTATTTTACAGTTTAAATAAATGTTTATTAAATAAAGTCTAATGTTACAACTAATCGGGGATCCCTTTAAATGTCTCAGCTTCTAACATATCGTCTTGCCTTTCCCTTTCTACGTCTTTAATGGAACACCTGCCCATTCACACCTCTCCTCGCAGCTGTCCTCTCCTCGCACACCTGTCCGCTCACACTTGCCTGCCTGGCCGTGTGCGTGCGCTTTGTGAGTTCGAGCTTCCATAAGGAATTCCGAGACGGCGGGCCAGGTGAGCGCACCTGTCAGACCTCGCCGCAGCCTCCATGTTTGTGTGTTTGTGTGTGCCTGAGAGGAGCATCCTGCCAGGAAAAGCAGGCAGACGAGGAAAAGAAAAAAAATCTTTCTTTAGCAACATCTGCCGCAGCGTGCCTCCTCTATAGATGCAAGATGTGTGAGGGCGTGCGTGATGGTGATTTTGTGTGTGCGCGTACATTAGGGGCTCCCGTCTTACTGCGTGTTGATGGGTAATGGCAGACGTCTCATTATGTCCAGGTTGCAAGCTATTGTTGCTTGTAATGTGCTTTAAGTCACTCTGTTTAATATTGAAGTACTCAACAAACACATACTTAAAATAAAATACACTGCAACACAAACACACACACACACACCCTCACGTATCAATAGATACAAATGCAAACGAACACTCTGGAACAAGTCCAAATGTGTATGATTAATACACACACAGCACAGTGAAGGGAGCAGTATTGCTGCCAACTAGAAGTGCCTTTGTCTACTTAATGAAATCATCAGAAGGGATTAGAAGTAAATTTCTTAAGGGGGTCTTTGTACACCTACGCATGCACACACAAGGCAGATGTCTTTAGGGGGTCCTTGGTACTTCAGCACTCATTTTGGGCAGAGGAAATATATGCTGGCATGGCTAAAATTAACACACATGCTCTTATTGAATCTGTTCAGCCCTGGAGTCAAGTGGAGAGAGGAGGGTTAATATCATTTAATAGTGTCACTGCTTTTAACTCCTGAATGTGTGTTTTCAGCGCCCAAGTACTGGCAGCAGATCTGAGGGATTCAATCGTTTTTTTTTTTCACACACATCCCTCTGAATGAATCTGATACTAAAACAGTGGAGGAGCACAAGGCTCAAGCAGAGGGCACACACACGCATAATATGTACATAAATATGGATTTAATGTAAATGTTGGGATGTAGCTCACATTTAATATAACTTTTTAAAGGGGACCTATTTTGCAAAATTCACTTTTTTAAGGGTTTTTTTACTCAACTTTGGGTATGTACTTCTTAAAAAAAAATCAGTCCTAGGACCAAAAAATGCACCCAGGGGCATATTTACTGTAAGTAAATGTATTTTTAATGTATATTAACGACAGGTTTTATACTTCCATCATTTTGTGATGTCACAAGCCGTACGACAACCCACCAGAACCTGTGTTCGGCCCCTCAACTAGCAACCCCCGGGTGAGGCTCCACCTCCTCAGTATAAAAAGCCGTCACCGTGTTGTTGTGCAATGCACAGCTCATTTCACAACAAGCCTCCAATAGGGCAATGGGTGCAGTGTTGGACCAGACAGTGG